CTCCTCGATGCTGCCCCGCGGCGGCGCTGTACGGAGCCGCTTGATGGGTCGCTCTCCTCTGTGTGTCCTACACAGGCAGGAAAGGAGAGACCATCAGACCATCATCACTTCGTCGTTGGATCGGATCTCCCCTTTTCTTGTTTGCTTTTGGTGGAGTGGATGATTGACAAGAAGGACAAACTACACGTGAGATTTATCTTCCATCAGAGTGCATGTGAATTTGGCCACTGTACTTCGGAATGGATAGACAATGGACAGTAGATCACACAAGGGGATTAATAGCCAAGGAAACTACCGGAGAACGAAGAGACGGAGAAGGGAATTAATAGCTGAGCAAACTGCCGGAGAATTAAGAGACGGAGAAGGAACACACAGAAATATTAATCTAGTGGGGAGATGAAAAGAATAGGCCTTACTACGGTTAGAAAACTTGGTCTTCATTATCGATCAATTCACGCCCGAGGAGGTGCTGTACATGGGGAATGCATGAGTGTGACGTGGTTCATTGCTGATGTGTACATGTTGCATGTCAATATAGGATGATGTGACACATTGCTGATGTGGATAGTGTGCATGGTGAGAGAATAGGGAGTAGTGGGGAGCAACTTCTTAAGAATGTTAGATAAGTTAAGCTATCAGTACTGATGAAATCTTCACCACAAAGGAAACCCATATGAATGACCACTTGCATAATTTAGCAAAATTGAACATCATGTCTACTGTTGTTTTTGCAGAATGGACTTTGTGTTTCTTATGTACTTCAATAGTTAAAGGTTTTGAAAATTGCCACTGTCACATTCTCTATACTTGAACTCTTGTTAGACTAGGCATCTCCATTTCACAGAGAACACCATAAAATTCCACTCATTTTGTCAATATGGTAGGAAATTTCACATACTAGGAGCAGTAACATCACATGAGATGGAGTAATAGAAAGAGAGAGAGAGCACATGATAGCAGTAGCCTGTGCATGTTTATGGGGGACTCTTGTCCATGAGAAGCGCTGACGGCATGAGACGAAGGCCTGTCGGAGGCCAGTCTAACTCGAGGATAACAGGCCCGGCTGTTCGAAGGACGAAGCGCTGCAGTTCAAGTTAGCACCGGAGGAGCAGCTGGTGGAGAATCTCGAAGACGTCGCCGCGTCTCCACAACGATGGTGCAGTCGGAGGTGCGCCATCCAGGGCGTCGTGCCACAGCAAGGAAATGGGGACAGTCGGCGGTGGTAGTGGGGGTAGATGGGGCTCTCGATGGCGCGTTGGGGGAGGGCGCAGTGGTGTCGCCCTCAGAGATAGAGCAGTCGGCTATGCGCCGGGGGAGGGGTCAACCGATGGCACGCTGGGGCATAGCAGACGGTCGAATTGGGCATATTGGGTGCAGCACATGTACCTCAGGAATGGAAGGGAAGTCAGGAGCAGGGGTGAATGGCTGAGGGTGGCAGTGGTGAATTGCCCGGGCTAGTGGCGGTGAACGGTCTATGCTGGATGTTGTCCTCCTCGGGGCAGAGGGGGCTAAGGAGGAGGCCAACCTGTAAACACGGGAAGGCCATGATGTGGTAGCACCACTGCGTCCACAACGCCGTTGAGGTGAGCAGCGAGCCATGGAGCGATGAAATGAGGCGCGCCACCGTCGACAGCGCATGGCGGCCGGGGGGTGGGAGGCGCGCGACGGCTTGGAGGTGGG